TTCTCAGGTGCCTTCCGACCCTAGAAACTATGAAACTATTAACAGCGGATCTGCAACTGGCAGCCTGCCTTTGGATAGAGCTATGTTAATTTGGGTCACTGTTGTTAGAAGGTTGTCAGTCCCTGTTCTAGAGCAACTTAGGCTCCCATCTTATATGCCATCTGGTTCTGAAAAACTGTTAATGATACAATTACTTATATTGTGATGAATTACTGATCTCTTCTGCAACTAGTGGACTAAATGCCATATTTTTATGATACTGAGGCGCACAGTACAATCTACCAATGATGGTTAAGTATCGGCCTCCCACAGAAACCAACAGGCATTGGTGTGTTGGGAGCTCTGAAAAATCCCACTAGGTGCCTATGTAGTAACTTTGAAAATCTGGTCTCACATCTATTTCACTAAAATTTTTCACTATGCCATTAGACCCAGCGAAAAGGTCAAAGCTAAAACAGGAATCTAAATTATCCTACTGACAATGTGGTTGAGCTCCCGAAGTCCAAGTAAGGCATGCAACAGGGATATCAAGTAAGCAGTTTTCGTAGGTAGGAAAAACACCCTACCCTTGAAATAATCCAGGAGAAAATAAAATGGAGCGGGGCAGAAGGAAGGAATGCACATATTTAAAATGCTAGTATTAGGTGATACTGCTTGAGAAGAAAATATTTTACAGTCACAAAGTTATAAACTAGATCTGCTTGCTGCTTCTCCACTAGAATGTTTTTTCACTGGATAATGTTAGTTACCTGGTAGAAACTATTCAATTTTGATAAAGGATGAATAGAAAAAATGCATGGTTTCATAGGAATACCTGCCTTGTTATCTGACAGTTAACCCACCCAATTCCTCAGCATCAGGCCAGCTGGGGAGCCTGGACTTCTGAACTGCTAGCACTTCAGGAAGTCTCCTGATGGGCTAATGGGGAGGTGAGAGCCTGAAAGACTTAGGAATGTTAGCTCCCAAGCAGCTCTGCAGCCATTGATCCCTAACGTTCCCTTTTTTGGATTTTATTCCAAAAGTGAACCTCAAAATATCCAACCCCTTCATGCAAACTGAATTGCCTCCTCCACACAACTTTATTTTTAAACACAGCAGGAGCAACTGAAAGGTTAATCAACTGTTGCCATGCTCTGAAAGTAAACTTGGTCTTTTATCTTCACATAAGTTTTTTTTGTTTTTACTTAGAATGAACTTGAGTTATTATGGAAGTTAAATGGCTAAATTTTGTTAATCTAAATCAGTTTCTTCCATGGATATTGTTATGGGGTCACCCCCTACATAAAAACAGAATAAGATTCTAAGGAGTTGATCTGGTACCTTTTGAAGACAATAGGAAAATAATTTTGCAACATATTAGGAAACCCTTGAACCCTAATGAGCATGCAACTACACTCTAGAATACTAAGAATACATTATTGGATGAAAAAAGTAATAATATAATGGTTAAAGCAAAAATACTCGAGTGGATTATTTCGAAATTCATTTCCCACTGCTATCTGTAATTCAAACCTCTCTCAGTAATAAGCAAAGATAGTAAAAAAATTCAATATATTCAATGAAAAGTGCAATTTCTGAAAAACTAAGATTTTTCATGGACAGAATTCTGAACACAAAATAGCTTTTCATTAAATCAAGGATTACTTTAAAAATTACATGCTTCAAATAAAATCTGGCATAATTTACTTCCGTAGCATTTAAAACAGCAAAGAAAGGGAATAAAATACTCAGTTATGATGGCTATCACCTGGACTGTTGTCTCTCGCTGTCATCTGCATAAGAAGGGCCATCTGTTTGCGCTCCGAAAGTGGATAACCAAAAAGAATGCTAACTGGTGCTGCCTTCTTATTTCCGGGTTCCTTTTTCATTTTCTTCTTCTCTGGGCCTTCTTTTTCTGGTAATGTTAATATACTTATTAAATTCTGACCAAAATCACAATTTTAGCATAGAATTCTGGAGAGACAAATAACTATTTTCTAAAATGTGAACTGGGGGTTGCAAAACAATAGGCTGAAATATACATCCCCATCTTGTATACAAAGTTAAAAAACAAACAAACATGAAGACACGAACTCTCTGAAAGATCATACGCAACAGTGCTCATTTGAGAAGTATTATATGTCCTAGGTAAAGGACTTAGAACTCTTGGAAGTATATCATATAGAAGATGAGGTAAAAAATCCATTTGTATATCAATGTAGTGATTTTGTTGCAATTCTGATTTTTCAGGAAATAAAAAAATGTAATGAAGTTATCTGATAATTCAAATCACAGCACAAGATGGTTTCTCTTTACTCCCATGTTATTCCATATTCCCTTGTTCCCAGAATCTAGCTTTAAAATGTCAGAAATTTCACTCCACTTCCCTTAGCAGACTGTTCAATTATTTAACGCAGTGTTCCCCAACCTTTTTGGCCCAAAGGGCCAAACAAGTAGTGCCAAGTCTACCCACACACCAGATCCAGTTGGTAGGCCTGATCTGCTGGAGCCCAATGCAGCCATGTAGGAACAGGGCCTGATGCAGCTGTGTCAGGGCCCAGCCAGGCCATTGCTGCATGGCTGCCTCAGGCCCTGGACCAATCCAGCCATGAACCAATGGGGCCTGATCTCCCTATGCAAGGCCAAGCCCAATCCAGCTGCACAGGACTTGGAAATTCAGTGGTGGAGGAGCTCCAAAACCACCAAATTTCTGGACCCAATGGGAGATACAAGGGCCAGGGGTTGAACACTCCTGATTTAATAAATCTCACTGTTGGGAATTCCCTTCCCCCCCGATATTCAGCCCAAGTATTGATGCTCTGGAATTCATCATATTACATTTAGCTATAACCACTTGCAACATCTCTTATGCATTTCTCCTCCTCATTGGTGCTCACACTCATCAAGTACACATAACTTCTGTATACTACCCCTCTCCTTTAGTCACCATTTAAAGTCTCTAATACTCCAGGTCAATTTTTGGGGAACGTAAGTTATTAGTGGTGCACCGATAGAGATTTTGGGGGCTGATATTGCTAGCTGAGATTTAAGGAGGCATATCAGCTGATCTGGAGTTGGGGGAGGTGGCTCCAGCTGCTGAGTGCGCCCCGGGAGGGCATGGGGTGGGTGCATGTGCCCCCAGATTTGCATGGGGTGGGGTGGGGTGGGATGG